AAGGTCTATATGGGTTAATGAAATTTTTCGTCTGTTCATTACTGAATTGTTAATATTTTTTATAATAAGACTACAAAGTAAAGTTCTTTAAAATTTAAAAAATCTTAATTTTTTATTTAAAAATTTTATTATTAAATTAAAAAAGTAAATTATATTATTAATAATTAATATTATTATAGTTAATTTAATTTTATTTTTTATTTATTTAATTTGATTTAAATCGATTTAATTTTGTTTTATTTTTTTTATTTTTAATAATTTTTTTTAAATTTTACATAATTTTATTTAATTTTATTTAATTCTGTTCAACGTGATTTATTTTATTTAATCGTATTTACCTGTATTGATTTAATTTCACCATTTCAAAATTTGACCATTTAATTTGATTTAATTTCAAATAATCTGATCTAATTTTACTTAATTTTATTTCATTTTCATTTAATTTAATTTTGGTAAAACGTTGAGGTTTGTTAAATGTCATTTTATTTTTATAATGTGTATGTAAATGTTTCTATGTAAATCTTACCTTAGCTTACAAGTAGTAAAATGTTCAAGAAAAGATATTTGAATCATTAATTTGTAGAATGCATACACCCCGGAATTTTGTATACACCTTGATTTTCCAATGCGACTTTTGTTTTTGCCGATGGTAATATGGTTGCGATTGTTCTATCGGTGTTAAAAATAGTCTTTATTTTGTTTTTTCTTAGCACTCTGCTGATTTCGTCTGGCTTACCCTTTATATAGGGCAGGATAGTTTTTCCGACTGGTTTTTCTTCTTTTTCTGGATCCTTGTTTTGTTTCGAGATTTATGTGCCTTTTCAATCGTAGATATGGAGAAGCCATTTTTTCTTAGAGCTGTTTTGATTTTGTACATTTCTTCGTTTTATGTTCCTTATCTGCCAGTTTCTGAAATCTTCTTATCAAGGTTTTTATTACCGAATTTAATTGTGCAGGATGATGGTGTAAGTCTACGTGTAAGTAACGGTGAGGTTTTCGTTATACTGTATATTCTATGCTCCCGTCTTCTTTCTTAATAAGTAACACATCTACGAATGGAAGTTTTTGGTTATTCTTCCGTTCCATGGTAAACTGTATTTTTAGATTCATATTATTAATGTGTTGTAGGAATTCATTAAGTTTCTCTTCTCCATGCGTCCAGATAATAAATGTGTCGTCAACATACCTAAGCCACAGTTTGGGTTTATGCTCTGCTGTTTCTATTGCTTTCGATTCCATATCTTACATAAAAAAGTTACGGATGACAGTGGTGAACCTAGCGGTGTTCCTTCGACTTGTTTGTACCTCTGGTCCTTGTAGATGAAATAGGTGTTGTTTAAGCAATGCCTCGTAAGTTTAGTGTATCCTGTGGTATTGGATATTTTCTACATTCTACATTTCTACATACAAGTTCTAATGATTCTTCTACTGGGACATTGGTGAATAATGAGATTACATTAAAGCTCACTAATAAGTGTTCAGGTTCAAGAATACCGTCCTTTTTACGGACGATAACGTGTCTTGCGTTATGGCATATGGTTGTAGCTGGTAAGCTAGAAATTTTGCCAGTGATTGTAACGGTGATCTAAAACAGCTGACTATTGGTCGTAATGGTAGCTCTGCCTTATGTACTTGTGTACTTCGGTAAACCGTAAAGTTTTGGACATCTTGACGACTTTTGAATGAGCTGGAAATGTTGTTCTTTCTTGATGTTTGACATGATGCTTGTATTTTGGCTTTCGCTGTTTTCTTCAGATACGTTGTTGGCTCTGTTCTTAATATTTATGATACATCTTGTCGAATAATCTCAGCTGTTTCTGATGGTAGTTTAGTGATAGTCGTTTCCACTTCCACTAATGATAATTTCGATAATGATATATATATATATATATATATATATATATATATATATATATATATATATATTTACTTCAGTTAAAAAAAAGGTACATGTAATCGTAGAAAATTTACACAAATATCCATGCAAAATAAAAATATTGACCTGATGAAGAATATGGAGATAAGTAATATATTTATTATATGAAGATTAGTAATCTCAACTAATAAATTATACGCAAAAATACGTATGCAATAAATGACTATACGTAGTGTCTAAAGTCCGCTCTCACTATTTTTTGAGCCATAAAACCTGAATTAATAATTTTTTGGATCATTTAACTAAGGCACTTACAATATTTTTGTTTTAGTGACGTAATCAAAAAAATGGTGGAGGGGCCAAATCTCACTGGGAGTCAGTTTAAGGAACTTTTTTAAATCTGGAGTGTGGAAAAATAAATTTATTTATTGTAGTGTTTTTCATAAAAATAAAGACTACTAAATTATTAGGAGTATTGGGGTAATCCTCCTTTAAATGAAAAATCCTTGTCCCAAGCTAATTTTACGTAATAAATGTCAATATTTTTAAGTTTTTTGTAGATATCATTTTTTATATATTATTAGGTATTTTTTGCATGTCACATCTAGTAAATTAATAATAGAATGTTTAAACAAATGAACATCAAACACTTCAAAACACAGTTCAGTGATGTCTCTTATCCAGTATTACCCATCTCATTATAAGTATTTAATTTTTTATCGTTAATAACTGAAAGAAAAATATCCCAATACATAAAATAATAGTAAGCATCTTTAGACATCACCATTATACAGTATAGCCCAAATACACAGTACTGAACTTGTAATTATTTTATTGTTTTAAAAAATACATATTATAGACACTTTATAACATGTTCCAAATGAGCTCTTCCTCTTTCAAGACAGACTTCATACCGATATTCCAGATTTCTCGTAATGTTATGGAATAAAATTAAATTTGTCTCAAGTCCGCGGAGAACGCTCTAACGACATCCTTTAACTCATTGATGACGTTACGGCAGTTTTAGCCATGACCCAAATGTATGCGTCTAGAGATGTTAAGTCTGGAGAATGTGCAGGATAGGGGAAATCAGTAAATCGTGAAATGAATTTGTTTGGCAAAAATTGACAAACTGAGATAGCAGTATGGCAAGTTGCCCCGTCATGCTGAAAAAATTGGTCTCGAAATGCTAAATTACGTGCACGACAAAATTGACGTAGATCAGGGATAAAGCATGTTAAAATTTGAATGTACCTCTATTGATTAAGTGTGACTTGCCTACCATTTTCTTATGAAAAAGTAAAATTTGAATGTTTTTTGTTGCTCAAACATGCGCAATTAGTGGATAAGAATTATTCTTAAACGCCGGAACGAAATAAGGACATTACTGTTACATAGTATTTGCACGTTTGATAAAAAATTTGAAATTAATATTGTATTTTTATGGGATTTTTGACTTTTCGGAATTTTTTTTTAAGAAATACTTTTCAAAAAATATTATAAATTCAGAAATTGCTAATTTATTTAGTGTGCCTGCAAATTGTGGCTTTGTAGTAGCCAATGTGACAGTTGACTTACTTTGCCTCGAACTTGTAAGCAAATTACCATTTTTTGGAGTTGAAATTCTGAGGGCAATGTTAAAATGTCTAAAGAATAGAGAAATATTTTGAAAAGTAAAGTTTAGCAGTTGATTTTTGAGAGGACGTGCTAGATATACACATAAATGAATTGTACGACAGTTAATTGGTCCATAAGTGTTTAACAATGTGATTTCCAAGCAATTGTTAATTTGAACATCTCGAGAAATAATGTTGGGGTATGCCTAAAACGTCATCATCAGCCATTTAGATATTCGAATAAAAAATATAACATTGCTGCTAAAAACAAAGAGAGACATTTTGATTCAGGTAAAGAGCAGTCGTAAATTCCAAATTTGGGTAACGAAACATGGAAAAGTATATCTTTTGGTTTATAATTTTTTTATCAGTCGTGTTTTGTATTAAACACAAACATTCTGGGGTAAACCCATAGATATATTTAGAGTCGGAGAAACCAGTCACCTGACCCTGAATCAACTCAAAAGCAGACGCAACTACAAACAAATACGTGAAAGTAACAGACCTTGAATTTAGCAAGGAAGACATTTATAAGAAAAACGCCTTTTTCCACCCCAATTGTATTTGATATAATTTGGTTGTTTGGTTCAGATTGCAGATGAAAAAGAATAGGCTATATCAGTTGAAGAATTCCCAAAACCTTTCACCTAAAGAATGTGTGCCAACCATAACAACCAAAACAACTATGAATAGTGAATAATTTTCAAAAATATATTATAATTTTTATACCAAATACCACTATATAAATTAATTAATTATATTATAATTAATATTGTATATTCAATTAAAGGAATCATCAATGGAATAAATGCGGAGAGACTGAATAGATAATAGAATTGAAAAGATAAATTTTAATCTTGTAGGATGGACGAGTCAAGTAAATACAAAAAGGAATGACTGAAAAAATATGACAAAACCTACAAGAGATGGAGAAGATGGGTAGATCAAAAAACCAAACTTATACAAAAACCTAAAAAATCCAAAATGTTATACAGATAGCTGACCATAATTTTTTTAAATGTTTCATAATCACACTTAATAAATCCAACAAGTAAAGGAAAATAAATATAGTAAGTATCTTATATTCATCTTTTAAAATTCTTATAAACCCATATTTAGCTAAATCAGTTAATGCAATATGTTAAAAATGTATAAAACATAAAATTGTGAGAAAATATTAATGAAAATATTTGAGAAAAACGAAAATATTTAACGCTGGTATTTTAGATGCGAAAAATGTGTGTCAACTATTTTTGTTAAAATCCTAAATTCTTGACAATCTAGGAGTGGCGTTAAAAATACGCGCAATATTTCTCGTATGGTGTTCAAAATACTTAAATAACGTAGGTCTATTATATTGAAAAACAATAATTTCCACAATGTTATAAAATTTCAAAAAGACGTCCGATTTTTGGAATGCGTCTAAAGTTAATCAGAGAATTAATTTTAATTTATTTATAAGGCGTGTTTAAAAAATAATTGCATTAAAAAAAATAATTAATACCAACCTTGAATATATAGTTAGATCCCTGAACTCAAAAAATTAACAAACTTCACCAACTGATGTCGACACCAAAATGTTGCCGGCTCGAACGTTGATGGTACGCGAACTGAACGTTTGGTGGCCTCGAACGAATTGCCTGGCGACTTGATGAATTCAAAAGAGTATAAATTTTACGTCCATTTATTCCGCACACAATATTACATCACAAAATACATGGTTTACACTGGGGTTAGGATAAGAGATAAACGAAATGAGTCATTGTTGTAAGAACCATCTTATTATCGACACATATTAAAATCTTTAAAGGAGAATAATTATTCTTATCGTAATCATAATTTTTAAAGCTTAGTACTTAACTTTGTTTTTTCTACATCTAAAAGTGTACTAAGGATTTAGCACACTGCGTGATTCTACTGAAAACAAATATAGATTTAAGCACTAAGTTGCCAACTCTTCCTTGTAGTCATAAAAATAAGTTTTAGGTGAAGATTTGTACAACAAACAAACCAAATTTAATAGTTAGGTATAAACTTTATCATAAATAATCATAATTATACAATGTGTACGCTTACATAAAAAGAATAACTGTTTTCATTTGAAAATTCATTTTATATAGGGAATTTTCTTCTTCGACACTTTCCAAGTTTGGCTATTATCGACACCCGATATGAAAAACATTGTAACTCATTTTTGCTTAGATTTGAAAGATAGATTTTAAAAAATCCCCAACATTTTATTTTTCTTTCGTTAGCTTTTACATTTTTTGTAGTTTTTTTAATCCATATTTTATAACTTTTTGTCATCTTTTTACTTTCAGGTATCACATTGTTGTTTAAATTACTGGTCATGATTTAGGTCGAGCTACAATACCAAGTTTTTTAAGAATTTTAGGTGAAGATCATTGTAAGTTTACTTACCACTTTAACATACATAAACTCGTTAAAGAAGTGACAGGTCATACAAAACCTGGCAATTTTAACAGTATTGTTAAGGTGATCCCAAGGATCTACTTCAACATTGGAGAAACTACACACAGCAACTATACTCAGACCACACTAGAAGAAACTCTGAAAGTGAATATAAAAGTGAACCCTCCCCCAAAATATTGAAGTCAGAAGTTGCAGAGCAGAGCAAATGGGGAAAAGCACCAGGCCCAGACGACATATACAGAGAGGTTCTAACAATATTTAGTGAATACAGTATAGACGCCTTAGTAGATCTTTTTAATGACATTTATGGGTCCGGTCAAATACCACAGGATTGGCTTTAATCAACCTTTATACCAATTCCAAAAACGTCAAACGCTAATAGTTGCGACCAATTTCGAATGACTAGCTTATTGAGCCAGGTCCTAAGACTCTTCTTAAAGATAATTCACAAAAGACTATACAACAGATGTGAAAGAGACATTAGCCCCACACAGTTCGGTTTCAGAGAACGATTTGGCACAAGAGAAGAACTTTTTAGCTTAACTGTTCTACCTCAGAAATGCAGAGATCAGCAAAAAGATGTCTTCCTATACTTTATAGATTACCAGAAAGCATTCGATTGTGTTAATCATTCAGAATTAGTAATGACCTTAAAATCATAAAGAACCTTTATAAGAATCAAGTGGTATCTTTGAAAGTAGGGCTGGAATCTACATCATATTTCTCAATCGAAGACGGTGTACGACAGGGTTGTGTTCTGTGACCCCTCCTTTTTAATATTTACTCTGAAACTCATAATAGCTGACAGCGAAGAAGCGCTATAACGACTAATAGGTAGAATAAACACTGAAGGAGAACGACTGGGCGTGAAGATTAATATAGACAAGACGAAGGTAATGGTGGTTCCACCAAATTTGGAACACCAAATATTCAATTAAATATAAGAGTAAATAATAAGTACATCCAAAAGGTCCCCAACTTCGGATATCTCGGTAGTTGGATAACTGAAGATCTAGATCCAGACATAGAGATACGTAGCAGGATTGAGCAAGCCAAAACAGCATTTACTAATATGAGAACCTTGCTAAACAACAACAGCCTTAACTTAACGCTTTGATATCGCTTTGTAAAATGTTACATTTACTCCATACTGCTATATGGTGTAGAAACCTGAACCATAAAGGCCATTGTGATAAACCGAGTGGAGGCCTTTGAAATGTGGGTATTTAGAAGACTACTTAAAATTCCCTGGACAGATCACACAACAAATGTCGAAGTAATTAATCGAATGGGCAGAGAACGAGAATTGCTGCCAATAATAAAAATAAGAAAAACTACTTATCTGGACCATATATTTCGAAATTCCAAGTACCAGTTCTTAAAACTTATTATGGCAGCGAAGATAGAAGCAAAACCGTGCATCGGAAGAAAGAAATAATCAATGCTCAAAAACATAGGGGATTGGACAAACCTCGATGCCCATCCACTCTTTAGAGCCACACAAGATCGAGAGGAGTATGCCAGAATTGTCGCACATGTCCACTAATTGGAGATGGCACCATAAGAAGAAGATACCATGTTACTTTAACAAATTATATTCCTTGGATTAGGTGCATATAAAGGGTAACTAATGAGTAAATATAATAGTAAATAGTAAATCAAAATAAAGAGATTATTATTAGTTTTTTTATTGATCTTACTTAAAACGTGATTTTTTACTCACACAAGTATCTAAGGATTCACATCATATTTATTTATTACAAAATGAACATCTACAAATTATAAAACAGTTTATAATATTTTATTCAGAAAAACAAAGTTAACCCCTAGCTAACTTTTATTCAGTCATCATCCGAATATTTTGTATTTGTTGATAGTGGGGAAGATTAAATTAAAAACTGCAATATTGCTCTGGTATAGCTTTACTTAATAGAGAAAATCAAACAGCCGAAATATCGAGACGAGTAAGAATGGGATGGGCAGCGTTCGGCAAACTTTCTTACGTTCTAAAAAATCAAACAATCCCTCTGTACTTACGAAGCAAGGTATATAACTCCTGTATCATACCGGTGCTCACCTACGGAGCACAGACATGGACATTTACACAGGCCAATTTGGATAGGATAAGGAAGGCACAAAGAGCGATGGAGAGACAAATGTTGGGTGTATCACTTAGAGATACAAAACGTAACCAGCGGATCAGAACCAGAACAAAGACAGTAGACGCGATAGAACAAGCAGCAAAACTGAAATGGAAATGGGCTGGACACAATGAACGTCTCCAAGACGGACGATGGAACAATGCCATCGGAAAGTGGCGTCCATACAATGCAAAGAGATCAAGAGGCAGACCACAGATGAGGTGGAAAGATGACATCAGGAAACAAGGAGGTCCCACATGCAGAGAACAGCTCAAGATAGGGAAAGATGGAGAGAACTGGGGGAGACCTATATCCAACAATGGAAGGATAGAGAATAGGTTCGGTTCGAATAATCCATTGTGTGTTAAAGGAATTTATAGTTCCCATAAATCTTGTATATTTTTATTCTCGGATTTGGCCCTATATTGCTCAATTTTGGTTTGCATTCTAGGTTTATAGACGATAATTGATCAGAAATAAGATTGTACTTAAAACTAAGAACATGTAGTTGTTTTTTAGATACTTTTATGTATTCTACTTTAGACCAGAACACTTGGCGTTTATCTATGTTTAAATCCCAATTCGCTATTTTGTTTAACTTTGATTTAAAGTGCAATATATCATTTTAACTTGTATGGTTTTCCTCTAACTTTAGCACACCTTATTTGTATACCTAATATACCTTATATTTCTACCTAACCTAACCTAACCTTATTGGTGTATACCACTATTGTGGAATATAAACAACTTGGTTCTTTTTTCTCCGCTCAATAAGGACATGGATTTAATCACCCTCAGATGGAGAGTGACCTACCTCAAAAAACATGTGTGTAATATTAATATTCATTATCTTGTTTGAATAACTATACATTAAAAATATTATTCGATTTTGATTTTGTCCTTCGCAACAATCTGAATAAAATCTAAACTCTAATGCTCCACCAGCAACTTTATTCTTCATAACATCAACTAGCGCACAACTTATTTTATTAAACCCCTTTTTAAATGTGGTTTCATCCTATGCATAGCAACAATCTCCCTTAGATCCGATATCAAAATCGTAAAATTATACATTGAACTTCCTTTTATTCTTCTTCTTCTGGTTCCTATCCGTTTCGGATGCTGGAAATCATATTGGCAATCATAACCTTGCTCGCTGCGGCTCGAAACAGCTCCGTTGAGGTTTTCTTAAACTATGTTCTTAAATTCCGCAGCCATGATGTTCTCCTTCTACCGGGTCCTCGCTTACCTTTGACTTTACCTTGCAATATAGACTGTAGCAGGAAGTAACGGTGCTGATTTCTCATAACGTGTCCCAGATATTGCAATTTTATGCATTTGATCGTAAACACAATCTCTGGTTCCTTCTTCATTTTTCCTAGAACTTCCTTGTTCGTGATCCTTGCTGTCCATGATAGTCTCAGCATTCTTCTATAAAGCCACATCTCAAATGCTTCAAGTTTTTTAATAGTGGTGTCTGTAAGCGTCCATGCCTCCGCCCCGTACAACAACACAGAGAAAACACAGCATCATTCCTTTTATAAAATCAATAATACCTCTGATTGGGGTGTCGTTAAAATTTTTTGCAAATCAAACCAGGCATTTACAACCGTTTCTGCTTTCTTAGACCTCTTTATTACGATTTTTGGCTTCACGTGCAACACATTTGTTTGCAATATGTAAAACATATTCCTTTTCTTTTTGGTCTTTTTCTGCTTTAGTGTTATGTTGATTACAAGATACTGATCTTGGTGGCTGGCTTATCGCATTAGTGATTTTCTAAAATCCATTCATTATACGGTGAATACAATTTGGGAAACGTAAAAGACTCATCAAAATACATTTTAGTTGTTCTTTGTCTTCTTCTTCTTCTTTAAGTTCCATCTTCTATCGAAGGTTGGAAATTATCATGGCTATGCGGACTCTGTTGACTGCCGCTCTAAAAAGTTCTGCACTACTGCATTCAAACCATTCCCTTAAGTTCTTAAGCCAGGATATTCTTCGTCTTCCCACATTTCGCTTTCCTTGAATTTTGCCTTGCATAATAAGTTATAATAATGCGTATTTTTCCCTCTCATCACATGTCCTAAGTACTCAAGTTTCTTTGTCTTAAGTGGTGGGATTCTTTTGCTGGAATAGAGTTTATGTGAGCACGAATGGAATTTTCAATATTTTTCGTCCACAACATTTGTTCTGTTCTTATGGC